AGGCTGGTTGGGCACTGCCCAGGCTCCCCAGGGCAGTGGGCACAGCCCCAAGGCTGCCAGAGCTCCAGGAGGGTTTGGCTGATCCTCTGGGGCACAGGGGGTGACTCTTGGGGATGGGCCTGTGCAGGGCCAGGGGTTGGACTGGATGATCCTTGTGGGTCCCTTCCGACTGAGCACATTCGGTGATTCTGTGATTTCCAAAGTGTCCAGAATCCCACAGGAACCTTCTCTGACAACGCACCTGAGAGCAGGACCTGGCCTGGGATGTCCTGGTTTCCCTCACACACTGCTGGCCCAGCACTGGTGTGGAACAGCATCCCTGATGTCACTGTGGCTATTTGGGGCTCAGGGGGAAGGAGCTTTAGTGCTCTCCCAGCAGTGACGTGGGTGAGGAGGTGTCAGCAGTGGTTATCTCTGAGGTGAGGAGGTGCCATCAGTGGTTATCTCCCAGGGGATTGTGCCATTGTGCCGCTCCGGTGGCTCCAGCCGCTGCCGCAGGTGCCACGTTCCAGCCAGGTTTGTGTTCCTGAGATAAGAGATGTGTCGTCACAGAAAGATTCCTGAAGTGTCTCATATCCCTGGGCAGGTGATTAGGAGGCTGTTGACATCAGTGCTATTATCAGCACTAATTGTACCCAAATGGCTGCGCACACAAGACCCAAATATTTCAGTGACTCTCTTGCTCTGCTCTACTGAAGCTTTGCAATTAAACAGCTGTACCCAAGAGACTTATACCAACCAAATCCTTCCTCACTTAAATGGGTCTGACCTTCCACCCTCGGGGCCTTATGGAAATAACCTGGATCACACACAGCAATGTGATTGAATTGGCAAGGAAATAACCAGTGTGATCCAAGCTGGACTTTCTCCTCCACCTATAAAGTTTTGTTCTGATGGTGCTGAAAAGTCTTTTTTCTCTCTCTAGCCATGAAGAGGAGAAGGGAGTACTCAGGACACACAGTCTAGTGTATTTAGGGAATAAGGAGATCACACCTTCAGCACTGCAGAGCTCATGTTGGTTTAGTCCCAGGTCTAGCAGCCAGGGCTGCTTTGGACAGCTGTGCTCAGTTTATCTCTGACAGGACAGACATCACTTTCCTGAGCATCACCTGGGTTTTCTTCAGTGTCTGAGAGCAACAATCTCCTCCCTTCCAGGTGGGCTGGCACCCGAAATCATTTCCTTATTGTGTTGGGACCAACAACCAACCCAGAGAGTAGCTCTCATTATTACTATCCCTTCAGGATGGAAAACAAAAAAGGGGTTACATTTGTGCTCATCAGGTCCCTGAGCTGTATTTTTGTTTGTGATAAAGATCACAAGCTGAAATGTTTTCCTGGACACGTGGTTTTGTCCTCAGAGAGGGCAGAAGGTTGAGGGTTCAGCTCTCAGGTGGGTATTGGCTGAGGATGAGGCACTTCCTCTCACCTTTAGCTGTTCCAGGGTAGATTCACTCCAATTGCCTCAATTATTTTTAGTGAATGGAGGTAAACTGTCCATCCAGGAGACAGGGAAGCTTAGGGCTGTATCAAACCCCATTCAGAGAGTAATATTAGCAGGACAAAGGACAGAAGTATGAGGAGAAATGAGCTGAGCTGCAGTGGAAGGTGGTCCCAGCCTCAGAATCACAGCAGAAATCGGGTTGGAAGGGACCTCTGGAGGTCCCTCTTGCTGCTACCTGCTTAAAGCAAGGCCATCTTCACTGGAAATGAGGTTGTTCAGGGTCTTTTCAAGCTGAATTTGAAGATCTCCAAGGATGGAGATCCCTCAGCCTCACTGGATCCCTGTTCCAGTGTTTTGCTGTCTCACTGTGGATTTTTTCTGTTAAGCCAAGTGCCTCTTGTCTCCTTTGATTTACAGCTCCACAAACAGCCCTGCTCTGCCCCTTTTTCAGCTCCCCACTGGTGGGATGTGGAGCCTCTCTTGGTCAGGTTAAACACACTCAGCTTCAGGCAGAAGTGTTTTGTCCTCTCTCATTTCCACCCCACCAGTACCTGCAGCTCCACATCCCACCTTTGTGTTTGCAGGGCTGGCTCTGTGTGTTCCCCACCCCACCCACCCCTCTGATCCCTGCCCTGGTTGGTCCTGCCCAGGTGGCTCCATGGATTAAGCTGAGTGGAATCTAGAGTTTTACACAGTGTTTTAGAGTCATCTTCATCTATCACCTCCCTCTGCTCTCTGAGTGATTGCACTCTTGACACAAAGAGTGTCTTGGACAAGTGTTCAAAATGAGCCCAAACCACTGTGGGCCAGTAAATAATGGTCCTAATACAATCCGTGTGATTGAAAAATGACTCTTTGTGTTTCTGTACAGCAGATGCCATTAAATGGTCATCTGATGCTTAATATATCTTGGAGATATGTACCAAGGGCTCGGTTCTGCTAACGTGCTGCCTTCAAAAAATGTGTTGTCTCCAACAGGATGGTGATGCCAAACAGACAGAGCTCTTTAGCTTCCCAAATATTCTCCAGTCAGCAGGGTCTGGAATGCATTGGGCTGGAATCCTGTAGGATAGAATGCATCAGGATTACTGGGTGAATGGATCCTCTCCTCAGGAAGGGACTGTGCACTGTCACACAGGGCAGGAACCTCAGGCCTCAGCTTCAGGTCCTCGTTCTGTCAGTCATGTTCTCTACAACCTTGGACACAGAGCCAAAATTTTAAACATGTCCTGTAAGCTGTCCAGTCTGAGGTACCTGGAGCATGACTGTCCATGGGGAGCACCCACAGACCTGTGCCAGCCTGTGGGCAAGTATCTACCTCTTACTGCTCTCTGAGCCTGTCTTAGCACTAAATAAAATCTGTGCCTTCATGTCCCTGCAAACAACAACCCCTTTACTCCACCTGTCTCAGTGTGTGTGCACACACAGATACCCTATGGTTGGTTACAGCCCCTATCTCTACTCTCTTTACAGCCAATAAATAATCAAAAGTGGTTAAAAATATTCTGCACAGGATGGTTGTGAACTAACATAATCCTCTTTGGGAGCCTCTGAGATCTTCCCAGGGTTTCTTTTGTAGAGCACATTAGTGTTGCAATCCATTATGCACAGGGACAGCAGTCTGGAGAGGAAATCATTTGGAAAATGGAAGGGACTCGAGTCCCAAACTATTTCTCATATGAAAGACCAGAAATATGGCATTTAAGGAATGCCAGGAGATATGAGCAACACCAGCATCCTCCTCATCAATATGCAATGAAGGAATTTCTCCTCCTTACATCTTTCTTGGTACCCAAGGTGACATCAGACATGTTTCCTCTGCCAAGAGAAAAGAGCCTTTCAAACTCCATCATCCTTCAAAGGCCACTGTCCCTTAAATCCACACAAGTCACTCCCTTCCTCCTTTCCCTGTGGCTCCAGTGAGAGCTTGTGGCTGCCCTAAGAAAATCAGAGCATTTCACGCTGTGATTATTCCACTGTGTCCATGATATTCACAGAGGAAAAAAAATCTTGGAGTATCCAGCCGTCCAAGGGGAAAACATTGGCTGCAGCTGCACTGTGTGGCATTGCTTATTCTTGGGGAATAGCAGAGAAACCTAAGGACCATTAAAGAAATCCCTAATGGGCAGAAAGCTCAAGGTAGGCTAATAGCTGTGTTGACATTCACCCAGGAACGTTGTTTAATCCTTTTCTTCTGGGCTGCTGGTTCTCCTCTCAAAAACTCCCTCCCCCCACTGCTGTGGTGCAGAAAAATTAGGGATTTCTGGAGAGTGGGGACCAGACTCCTGATTTTGGTCAATCTTAAAGAAGTGTGGCTTGGGGAGGGCAGTTTTGGTGCCCCCTTGGGCAGGTCCCAGGGCTGTGATGTGTTCAGAGTGACTCTGGCTGGAGCTTTCTGCTACAACGAGCAGTTCATCTGCACTGCAAGGAGAATGATGGAGGGATGACACAACCCTGGGGTGAAGTGAATGAGGGGAAGCATATGAAAAACTGAACAATAGCCAGGAACTACTTGCAGCAGCCACACAGAAAGAAACTGAGCTTTTAAGCTGTATTTTTTATTTTATTATGAATATTGTTGCTTTTTTTTTGTTTTGTTTCTGTTTCTGGTAGAAATCCAACTGCTGCTGAATTTGTGGAACTGAAAATACTGAGTTCTAGCTGATGAGTGAAAATATGGGTTTTTTCCCTCTTTCTCTCTCCCCAGGGCTCTGGCTGACATCTTAAGGCAGCAGGGACCAATCCCAATAGGACACTGTGAAAGAGAGACTATCTCAGCCATAGATACCTCTCCCAAAGAGAACACCCCAGTCAGGACCTCTTCCAAAAACCATTACACCCCAGTGCGCACCTCCAAGAGCAACCCAGGTAAGTGCTGCTCTCCTCTCTCTCTCCAGAGCAACCAGGGGCCGTGTTAGAAGGCAGCAGAACATCCCACTTTACACCAGCAGACTTTGTAAACCTAAAATTAGGATAATAAATGGCTTTAAAAGGCACCCAGGCGGAGCGGAGCAGTGCAGGGCTCAGTGGTGATGATTCTCTCAGGTTTCTGGGAGCAGAGTGGCTGTTCTCTCTCTCTCCAGGCATTTTAACAATTCAGAGCCAGTGAGGTATAAATTCAGGTTGTACCAGGGCTTGTATTGAGTGTAGAACACTGTGTATTTCCAACAAAACATATATGCTGAGAGGCTTTGTGGGGCTCCCTGTGCTGAGCAGCTGGGAAGAGAGAAATCCATGGAATTGGGGCCTCCGTGTTCATCCAGGGGAACTGTGGCCATGTGCTGAGAGGATGGTGTGGGAGGTGACCTAGAAGAACTCCAAAGGTCCTCTAGGAGCATTGGCCTGGGAATGGGGACACATCTTGGGGGTTTTTTCAGCTTCGACTGGCTGGGTCAATTTGGTGAAATCCTTTGCCTTCTTTTTGCCTTGATTTCCCCCAGTGGCACAGGGCTGGGGAATAAAGATATTGTTCTGGGTTATTTAATGCTTCAGAGGTTGATAGTTGCCTGAGCAGTGCCTCAGTGGGTGCTGCACACCTTTGTTGGGGGGGATGTGGCAGATCTCCCATTTGCTCTGGGTGTGTGCTCAGAGCTGGGCCCTCATTCACTCACAACCTGTTCAGCCTCACGTGGAAGGTTCTGGTGGCACTTCCTGACCTGTGTCACCTGGTGAGCAGAGGGGGTTTTACTCATGGTCCTTGCTAGGGAAGCTTTTGAAGGAAGGCAGTGGGAGCTCAGGCTGCTCCACGACCTGCAGGGCTCTGCTCTGAGTGGGAAGGGTGTGTGGCTGAGGCAGGGACTGTGTGGTTGGGACTGTGCGGTTGGGACTGTTTGGTTGGGGCAGTTTGGTTGGGACTGTTTGGCTGGGGCAGTTTGAAGGGGTTTGGTGCAGTGTTCATCACCCTGTGCAGACAGGCACAGGTGATGGTGTTCTCTGGAAGCCTTTTGCTGAGAACAAAATAATTTTCCTGAGAACTAAGAAGGATTCCTTTGCTCTCCCATTTCCCTCAGAACCAGGGACCCCTGTAATTCTCTACACCAGAGAGTTACCTGTGCAGTAAAATGTTGGTCTGGAGAACAGCACTTGAGTTTTGTCTTCTCCAGCTGAACATGATCCCATTACAAAGGGCAGCAGTCAGTGAGGAGTCCATTTGGTGCTGGCTGAGGGTTGGGACATGAGATGAGCAAGGCAAGGTGTCTCAGAAGGGGAAGGCACCTTGTCTGTGGGTTTGTCCAGACTGTGTGAGGGGCAAAAGCCATGACAGCCCAGCCAGGGCTCTAATGGGCACCCACAGGCAGCAGGAGCCACTAAAGGAGATATTCCCAAACACACAGCCCCAAAGGAGAAGGGACTTCAGTCCCAGCAGAGCCTCCCACAGCCCTTGGCAGCTGTAGGGTGATGGATCAGTGCTGCCAGTTGGACTGAATATCACAGCCAGGCCTTGCCAAAGCTGGGAAGGGAAAACTTGCTCTTGTAAACTGCCCAAAAGAACTTGTTCCTGGCTGTGCCTGCTGTTAACATCTCCCCATAGATCATAGGAGACAGGAAGCTAATCACTTACAAAGGATCCTGAGCTCATAAAACAGCCATACAGGGAATGTTTTCCTGTAAGGTTTCCTTGGCAGAACAGGGCAATGCTGGATCTGTGCTCTGTTACTCAGCTTTGTGGGAATCAGGAAATTGTATAAGTGAATGCTAAAATCTGGGAAGGAAGGAAGTAAAAGTTGGAAAACAAGTATGTGGAACTAGAATAAAGTTGGTAAGCCCTTGTGTGGAGGCAGAAGAGTCAGTAATGCTTATTTTATTGAAAAGGGAAAGAAAACTTAAAAAAAAGGAAGGAAATAGGGGACACCTAGGGGGAAAACATAGAGGCGGAAATGTGCAGTAAGATCCAGGCAAAGCACTGCTCACTGGTGCTGCAAACTGGCTGGAGAAGACCACAGCTGTAGAGTTTTGTGGTGGGATCTGAAAAGCACCAGCTCTGGGTTGTCTCAGCACTGCAGAGTAGGAGTGGTTAAGCAACCATAAAGTACTTTCCTCATTACACATGTGCTGATTGAGTTTGGGATTTGTTTTACTTGGAACTTCTGTTTCCAAACTTATAATTGGAAGGGTGCCCTGAAGTCCTGCTAAATAAACCATGGCTTCATTTTTCCATCAGGCTGGTTTGGTGTCAGTGAGTAGAGAGAGTGGAGGTGACAGTGACAAATGGAGGTGGGCTCAGCTCAGGCAGTGGAGCCCAAGCAAAGCGGCTCCTGCAGGTGCTGCTGAGGGCAGGGCTGGGGCACCTGCTGGGAGGTGCCTGGAGTTCCTGAGGGAAGGATGGAGAGAGGGGAGGAGAGGAGATGGAGAGTTCATCTCCCACATGCCACCTCACACCTGAACTCCTCTGGGGTCATTCCTGTTCCTCTTGGATGCTCCCCAAGGAGGAGACCCACCCACAGCAAGGAGCCTCAGGGAAGGCAGGACCCTGCTAACTCTGTACTGGGTGGGTCAACCAGTCCCAGCCATGGAAGTGATGGGATGAGGGCAGGAAAAACCCTGGAAACTTGGCATGAGAACCTCTGAGATGCACAGCCAGCTCCAAAGCAGCAGTGGGACACTTTAGATACGGAGGCAGTTGGAGCTCTCTGACTGTAGCCTGCACATCAGCAGCCCTTTCAGCTTCCCCCCCTGCTTCCTGATCCTGAAGAGATTAATATATATTTAATCAGATTGAACAGAAACACTTGTTCTGCTGAGCTCTGCAGCATGGATGCCACACTGAGCACCTGTGACCTCAAGCCTGCAGCACTGGCCTTCTGCTCTAAACCTACAGCCTGGAAACATCTCCACACCTTCCTTCCATCCTGCAGCCCTCACAAAGGCTGATTCCTTCCAGGGTTCCACGAGGATCCTTCCTGTGAGGCACTGGTTGCAGGAAGGAAGATGAGCTGCTTCTGTCCCCAGCACTTGCTGATGCCTGAAGGGCAGTTCAAGGCTGAGGCAAAGCCCTCAGTGACTTTCCCAGGCAGTTCATAGCAGGTGGTTTCAGAAGTCCCTGAGCTCTGCAGCTGGGCTGGTGTTGGGTGCAGCCTTTACTTCTCAATTCAAGTCTAGATAAGGCTTATCTAAGGGAAAAAGGAAAGTGTCTCTGTCCTAGACATGGAGACAATTGCTCTTCAGACAAGGCAGCTGGTTTTGAGAGGGCTTCATCCTGCTCCTGTGCCATGACCCCCTTCCCCAGGCAGGATGGGAGCAGCTGGTTCTGGGAGGTAGAATGCATTTCCCCCAGTGGGATCTGCCAAACCTGAGCTCCCCAAGTGTCTGAAGAGCATCTCTCCAGAGATTATTGCCACTTTTGCTCCCCTTGGAGAAGGGAGCTGGGGACAGCCCACCTCCCCTTCCACCCCCTCTCACTTCTGTGGACATTTTTGGTCACTGTTTTTATGCAGTGCCTGTGTTTTGGTGGTGGTTGGGTCTTTCCAGGTAAAGAAAAGCTGGAAGCTGTGCCCACAGAGTGCTCAGGTCAGAGCACATCTCTCCAGCTGATCAGTAGGAGCCAGGAATGCTCCTCCAGCCCCCAGATCTCCTGTTGGTTCAGTGTTTCTTGTTGAGCAACAGGTAAAATGTGAGGAATCTGAGATGCCACAATATCCATCTCATCTCTGCTGGCACTTTCAATATCTCCATCACAGCAGGGCTTTTAAGGGTGTTGGAAGGAAAACTCCAGCAACATTTCCCTCTCTTTTCTCCTTAGCCACATGTGTAGGGGCAGGTTTAGAGGGTCTCAAAGGTCGGGGAGTGGATCTAGAGGGGTCACAAGGGCGTAGGGGCATGTTTAGGGGGGCTATAGGAGGATTCTGGGTGGTCTCAGGGGTGTGGGAAGTCTAGGGGTCTCATGGGGACATAGGGGTAGATTTAAGGGAGTTATAGGGTGGTTTGGGGTCTCAGGGGTGTGGAGGTGCAGGTTTAGCAGGTGCCATGAGGTGTAGGGGCTGTGCTGACACCTCTTGTGAAGGTCAGTGCCACTCATGTGTTCAGTGGATGGACAGAAACACGGACAGGAAGGAGAGATGGGAGAAAGGTCAGTAGTTCCTGCAGGGGTGGGAAATGTCCCCCGGAGGCAGCTCCATGTGCTCCACAGGGGAAGGGGCTGCACTGGGCACAAGGGACAGAATTTGAGCCAGAGGCAACTCCTGCAACATCCACAGTGAACTGGTGTGTCAGAAAGGGTGAGGGCAGGTCCTGTCACAGTTATGCTGAAGAGACACTAAAGATCATCCCATTCCACCCCCTGCCATGGGCAGGGACACCTTCCACTGTCCCAGGTTGCTCCAAGCCCCGTCCAACGTGGCCTTGGACACTTCCAGGGATGGGGCAGCCACAGCTTCTCTGGGCAACCTGTGCCAGGGCCTCCCCACCCTCACAGGGAACAATTTCTTCCTTATAAATCTAATCTAAATCTACCCTCCTTCAGCTTAAGGTCATTCCCCTTTGTCACTCCAAGTCCTTCTGAAAAATCCCTCTCCAGCTCCTGGAGCCCCTTTAGGGTCCCCAGAGCCTTCTCTTCCCCAGGCTGAAAAGCCCCAGTTCTCTCAGCCTGCTGATGTTTTTGAAGGCCTGCTGGAAATATTTGAAATATTTCTGGCCTTCAAAGGAGATTTGAAGGCCTTTTGGAACTCAGATGCAAAGGGTTGCTTTGCTTTTCTCAAAATGTGGTGAAGCAAAGCACCTGGAAGATTCACAGAAATTGTCAGATGGGAGTTTTCTGAGGGCCTTGAGGGGGGGCCAGCTCAGGGTGACAGTCACACACGGGGTCTTTCTATTGCTGTTCTCCAAACCAAGGCTCCAAGTACAGATTTGAAACCTTTGACTGGTGGAAATCA